AATAAATATTTATGAAATGAATATATAAATCAAGATGAGAGAAATTATCATCTTCTGTGACCTGGGCCTAACTATGGAGAAAAATCACTGGATAAAGAATGCTTTTTCTGAGCAAAAAGTAACTACCTACAGAAAGGCATCCATGGTGTATCTAGCTTTACATTTAGTACCCTAATCATTAACACTTAACAATTCTTTCTCCTCACAGTTACTTCTGAATATTAGATCTTCTATGACTTTTGCATTTTCAGTGGACTTCTGATATTTTAAAATACTGCATTTTTGGTTTTACTGTATCTCATATATAAATTTATATGCAACTACATCAGAGAAAACTCTCCTAAGAGAACTACTACCCAAAGAGTAGTCTTTCTAGCTTTAGGAAGTGTTGTATATACATATATTTTAAAAGAAAGACAGTGAAACTTCCTCTTAAAGGTTGGTCTGTTTAGTTAAGTTCTGCTTTAGTTTTTGTACAAAAAGATTGTTTTTGTTATCTATGTGTCTTGTGATAACTTATTCCTACTTTAAAGAAACAGAAGCCTGAATCTGTATCTTGATTGTCATTGTTAGCTTTGCAAAAAAGAATAGGTATGATAATGGTGAGATTTTTAAACAGAGGAAAGGAAAAGGAGTGAACTGTTGAAAACAGTAAGACTAAGACAAAGCTTAGGGAAAAAAAGTTACACATTCCATGTAACAAACCACAAAGCCAACAATTAATTTCCTTTAGCAACAAAAAAGCTGCTATAAACTAATTAGCAACTCTCCCTGTGCTGTGGCAATGCTGTCTTTTTTTTTTTTTTTTTTGAGACAGAGTCTCACTCTTTTGCCCAGGCTAGAGTGAGTGCCGTGGCATCAGCCTAGCTCACAGCAACCTCAAACTCCTGGGCTAAAGTGATCCTTCTGCCTCAGCCTCCCGAGTAGCTGGGATTATAGGCATGCGCCACCATGCCCGGCTAATTTTTTTTTTCTATATATGTTTAGTTGTCTGATTAATTTCTTTCTATTTTTAGTAGAGACGGGGTCTCGCTCTTGCTCAGGCTGGTTTCGAACTCCTGAGCTCAAACAAGCCGCCCGCCTCGGTCTCTCAGAGTGCTAGGATTACAGGGGTGAGCCACCGTGCCCGGCTGGCAATGCTGTCTTTAAGTCCCAAATCAGAATCCTCTAAAATAAGCCTAGAATGTTTCTCTGGCATATTTTGCCCATGTATTCTTAGAATTACCAAAGAAATGAAAATGATGTAAACTGACTTTGAAATCTGCCCTGATCTCCAATATCTGGATTGTGACAATTACTGAGGTATTACCCATATACAAGTCAATCAGAGAGATTAGCCCGGAAGAGAGTAATTCCTGCATCCAGGATAGAAAATTATACATAAATTCATGTTGAATGAATAAACAAATGAATGAATGAAACAATAAATAGATCAGGAACTAAGTATCCCAAAGTCTTGATTATCAGAGGTTTCTAGATTACCCATAGGAAAAAAAATAGTGCATATAAACAAATTCATCCATTTACATGTTACAAAGCATCTATTATTTGGAACCAGGCTTTAAGCAAAAATAGATTTTAAAATGCGGCCACTGTCATGTAGTGATTCTTGTTTTTCTTTCTCATCCCCTTTCTGCTAATAACCCCTCTTTACAGCGAAGCACCTCTCTGTCCAAAGGACCTAGCCCAGTGATACATACTTGGTAGAAGCTCAATAAACATTTATAAAACCTAACTAATGATATTAATGAAAATGTCTAAGAAGGAAGTGATAGGCAGTTCTGTCAAAAACAGAGGCTCATGTAACGTATATGTCCTAGCTAGAGATAAAACAATCAGTGGTATAAAGGTTAGTTCATTCTGGACCACTGAAGAATGATTCAGAATATGAATATGGTTCAGGCTCAGGTTTGTTAAATAAAAGCTTTATACATAGGTATCTCTGGTTGCACTAATATAAAGGAATCATTGAAGTGATGGCTATAACTTAATCAAAGTTAATTTTAAATAAATTCAGGCTTAGGAAGCCATCTTCCAAACCTGTTCACTAATTTGATTTTAATTGCAAGCTAAGATGAAGTCTTATTTGTAATTTTTTAAAAATAAAGGCAAATTAGATGGCGCTAGAGAAATGATAAAAGAAGAAATTAATGAACATAAATTAAAATTTCTTATGTCTGTACTGAAAAAAAAATAAAGGCAAATTCACAATTATAAAGGACAGTGTTTTCTTGTCACATATTCAGCAGACACCAAATCATTATGATCTATGCATAGTCCAAAAGAAGTTTTTAAACTTAGTAAATTTCTTAGGAACTCTATTTATGACTTGAGTGATAACTTTCATGAAGATACTCTAAAAATAAAGAGAAATTCTTACCTCTTACAGTTAAATTTTAATAACAATTTCAATTATATGGAGCCTTGGATTTTTTCTATAACCCTCATATTAAATTTTGTGCTCAGTATTAAAGTAATTAAAGTCAATTTCTTTACCAATGAATTATAGGGAATACAAATTAAGAAGAAAGAATGAACTGGGAATATGCATGCAAATATTGTGTATTCATATTATTATACAGCATAATCTGTAAGTCTGGTACTAATAAGACTCAAGATTTAAATGGCTGAAGAATGTGTTTAATGAATTATTGTCAATCAATGCCTCTGTTCCAGGATAAATGTAATCTTAAATGGCAACACACCTATCATTACAAATTCCTAAGTAAGTACATTATTTCAAAACGTCACTGTCAATTTATAGAGTAACAAATGAACATCTTTCCACCATATACCCAATTGCCTTTCCTTTAGGATAAATGAAACACTATTAAGAAAAATTATAAAGTCAATATTTTTATAGCAATAAAAGAAAACCAATGAGCATTAAAACTCTAAATTAGTTATACCACTCCAAATTTTCATATTTGTTGATGTGGATACATTAGGTTTTATACCACTGTAATCAAATATTGTTTTTTCAAGTTACCTTATTTCATGTAAATTCTTCTAAATATTCACTTATTCAATCATTTAACAAACATTTACTGAGTGCTGACTTTGTCCTAGGTACACTGTTAGGGGATAGAGTTACAAGCACAAATATGATATGACTTTTGCTTTTAACAAACTCACAGCCTAGGCCGGGCGTGGTGGCTCACGCCTGTAATCCTAGCACTCTGGGAGGCTGAGGCGGGCAGATTGTTTGAGCTCAGGAGTTCGAGACCAGCCTGAGCAAGAGCGAGACCCCCGTCTCTACTAAAAATGGAAAGAAATTAATCGGACAACTAAAAACTATATAGAAAATATTAGCCGGGCATGGTGGCACATGGCTGTAGTCCCAGCTACTCGGGAGGATGAGGCAGGAGGATCGCTTGAGCCCAGGAGTTTGAGGTTGCTGTGAGCTAGGCTGACGTCATAGCACTCTAGCCCAGGAAAGAGAGAGACTCTGTCTCAAAAAAAACACACAAAAAAACAAAAAAAACCTCACAGCCGAATGGAAGACAGAGATAATAAAGGGAAATACAATAGTACAGAGTTATATTAAAATTGTCTACATGTTTCACATTTGCAATAATTAAAGAATACACTATTGAAAACACTCACTATACTCAGAAGCTCTTCATCATTGGTCAAAATCAAACTCTCCCTTATTCTATGGAAATCTTTTTTTAAAAATTAAAAACAAACAAAAAAATTAAAAACACTAATTTTACAAATATCTGTGAACTTAGCATGTCAATAAAAAATGCTAATATTTATTTCATATTTTATCTTAAGGGTATTTTCCAAATCCAGAAATTTCTGGATTGGTAAAGTACTAATGATTACTTCAGATTATTACTTATACCTCCTGCCAGCTATCTGACCTTGTACAAATTTGCTTAACTTTGACCCTCAGTTTTCTCATCTGAAAAGTAGAGATAATCAGACCAATTTGTGCTAGATTATCTTCCATTTTTCCCCTCAGGATCCATGTTCTTGCCCAGGGAGGTTTTCCTGCCTTCTATTAATAGTTTCTGACTGGGTTAGGTCAATAGGAGATACTAGCAGGAGATTCCAGTATTGAAGGAAAGTGAAGCTATTCCCTGGTTTCCTCCCTACTAGGTCCCCAAGGTTGGCTATATCCCTCTATCAAAAGCAGTCCTCTCCATACAGTACCTTCTCCTAGGCATTCAGGCCTAGAAATGGTAATGGCTCCCTTTAGTCTTGGGGTTGGTATTATCCCCTGTTGATTTCTGTAAACCCTGCCTGTGTCTTTATAAATGGTCCCCTTTTTAAACTCTTCGTAAATAACTGTTTGAAAGTGTCATCTATTTCTTGCCAGAACTCTGACTGATATACAACCTCATGGGTTATTTTGAGGATCACATGAGATGATGATATATGTAAAGTGCTCAGCACAGTGCCTAGTGCATTATAAATACTCAGTATTTATGCTTTAAATACTTACTATTTACACTAAGTGTAGAATACTGTTGTCATTATCAATACTGCTGTTATTATTTTATTTGAGGTTCTATGCTTATGCTACCTTTAACATCTGAATATGTTTGAGAGATTGAGAAATTTAGAACTCTGGAGATCTTTTACTAATTCTCACAGTACTTCAAAAATATATTCAAATGCAAAATGTGTTTATTGCTAATCAATTTCAATATTTAAAAAGAGTAAGAGGATCTTAAAAGTGAGTGATAAAATCCATATAGTAGACAGGATTTCTTGGTCTGTAATTTCTTCTGTAAATATGTTTCCAAACTCATTTCTTGAGATTGACCTCCTGTCACCACCCCAAAACTAGCAAAGTATCAATATTCCACAAATTTAAGCAAATTATTGGATCTCAGAGTCATGGAAAGAATGGACTGAAAGGTAAACTCAATGGCATAAAAGACCTTGGTAAATCTAGAAATGCATCTTCGGCATATTTATCAATCATGACATAGGCAGCATCATTTGACAAATCATGTCATTAAAATCTTCTTAACCTTTCACCTTACCTCATCCTTTATATCTTCCTGTTGTTGGGCTGTGAAGATCTCCATTGCAGCCATGAGTCTCATCATTAACTCATCTACTGTTGTGTTACCTAACAACACATGGAGATTGACAAATTTTATTTAAACTTTTTATATATAACTTCAAAGTATTAAAGTTATTAAAAAATGGAAAGTTGTTCTAGAATTAATCAGAAAGGAATAACTATAGTCTAAAAAATCAGTTAAATACTTTCATGTTTTCATTGCAATGTTTCATATGTTCGATAAGAAAGAGTAACAAGTATTATATATTAGCAGGTAAAATTTCAGAATAGTTAGATTTGAGGAACAGTCTCTTAACAAGGATTTTTAGCACTATAAAGAAGAACGTCCAAGTCATGAGCTTCAAAAAAATTCTTTTTAACTGTGAGAACATATCCACTTAATAACACGTGCAACAACTGTTTATATCGTCAGTGGTTAGCACTTTACATGTATTATCTAATTTAACCTGTACAACAATTCTATGAAGGGGTCATTATGATTTCGATTTTAAAGAGAAAGAAAATGAGCCTTAGATAGCTCAATCAACTTGCCCGACCAAAGTCAAGCTGGTTAAATGGTGGGGCCAGAATTTGAAATCAGAGCAGGCCACTTGAAGCCTATCCTCTTTGCCTCCTCAGTACACTGCTTTTACTTAGAATTATCTCCTATCACTACTATTTGTTTCTAGTGAAACAAATAGTAATTCAATTTATGGAAAAATCTGATTCCTTTTTTTTTGCCCAATTGATATGTTTTCCTTTCAGCTGCTTTCAAATGACTATACTATAATCTTTATGAAGAGGGTATTTAAAATGTTTCATTTTCCTTAATATAATTTTATTCCCTGTTCAAGTCCATAACAAACATATAGCACATATATGCCATTTCCTGAAAGCACTAAGTCCTTGTTACTTGCTTTGGATGTACTATAAGAGAGAAATTGATAAGTATACATAAATATATGACAATTCTTCTCTTAAACCTACAGGCAGGGTTAGTTTTTCTCTAGGACTTGAGAAGGAGTCTTCCTATCTCATTAATGAAATGGCCACCAATGGGAAACTAAAGAGCAAACATCCTTGCTGGTGTTTTTCCAGCAGGCTTTACTAGCATGATCTTTCAGGGGCCCTTTTCCTAGTTTTTCTTATGACCATTGGCAGCATGGGCTTAAGGAACATCTGTGATTCTTAGAAAAAGAAATGATCCAATTTGTTCACATCAGCACTATTCTTTCAATAAATGAGCTACAGGACAAATGTTACCTTGTCACTAAGGAAACAGAACTGGTTTTGTAGTCAGAGTAACAACCCTAGTTCCATTACTTATAGGCTATATGACCTAGTACCTATAAATTGTCTAGCATATGACAAAGGCTTTAATAAACATTTGCATAATAAAGAAATAAGTGAATGAGTAGACTGTAGCTCTCTAAAGATCAATTTTCTTACTTTAAAAATGGAGATAATACTAGTTCTGTAATGTTCTTGGAAGGAGTAGAGATAATGTAAAGTACCTGGTACATAGTACACACACAATTACTGGTTGTTATTATTAATAGATATGATAGATGGCAAAAGAAGTTTAAGAGTACCTTCAATGTAGATTTTATTATTAGACAAGTCCTGGGTTTCCATATCTCATTTGCAAACTGTAGTAATTAAGACTTAGAGCATAGGAAATAAATACTTTATGGAGTATACTGAAATCATCAGTGGGAAAATTCTATACTTGTAATGTGACTAAACATTGGCCATTAATTTTCAGGCTTAAGCCACTGCTCATCAGCTACACTTCAGCCCTAACTGCAAGGACCCACTGCCAAACTGGACTTGTAGGTACTTTATATTTAAATCCTTAACGATGTAAGACAGAGAAAAGGTACCAGTTAATGTTAATGCAGTTCAAGGCAAACTTACTTTCCACAGCCAATTGCAGTTCTCAAACTTTTTAATGTCAGGACTGCTCTACACTCTTAAAAACAACTGAGATGCTCAAAGAACTTTTCTTTATGTAGGTTATAGATACCAACATTTATTGTATTAGAAATTAAAATTGAAATATTTAAAAAAAATTTACCAATACATTTAGAAGCAACAATAATAAACCCATTACATTAATATAAATATTACATTTTTACAAAAAATGACTATTTTCCAAAAGAAAAAGTTTAGTGAGAAGAGTGGCATCTTTATAATATTTCTGCAAATCTCTGCAATGTCTTAAAAGAAAACAACTGTGTTCTCATGTCTACTACTACACTAAACAAGTTAAATATGTTGTAGTGGTTGAAATTTATGAAGAAAATCTGGCCTTAAAAAGATAGGTAGTTGGAAAAGGGAGAAGTATTTTGATAGATGACTGTGGACATTCTTCTTTGATACTACACTCAAGCTGACAAGTGAAAGTTTCTTCAAATTAGATACATGTGGAATTTGAAACCATATCAATTAACTTTTTGTACTTTGTTAATTAAAATCCATTGACCTTTAAATGGATCTTTTAACTGCTTATGATTTTATAACATCATGCATTAGTCATTTGGAAAACACTGGTTCACTGAGTTATATATTTCTTCTGAATGTTGACAAACTTCAATATATGATATAAAAAAATCACATTTGTTAATATCACCACTGATGTCATCAAAAAAGTATTTAAGCTGTCAATCTTAAGGTGCAGGATATAAATTTTTGCTTGAAAACTTAAATTTTATCAGTGACAAGAAAGTATCAGTTTTTTTACTTGAAAATGACAGATTCACTTTGCTCATTTTGGAGAAAATGACTGCCAAATACCCAGGTAACACAAGCATAGTTTGTCAGTCCTATTTTCAAGTAAAAATGATTTCTGTAAAAAAAAAAAAAAAAAAAAAAAAAAAAAAAAAAAAAAAAAAAAAAAAAAGAAAAAGAACTAGTTTAGCTCAAGCAACCACCAAGTGCTTTTGAGACAACCAGTATACGTCAGTACACAGCAAAGTGGTTTATTCATTCCTACCGCCACATCACACAAACTATTAAAAGCATTAAAATTTAATAAAAGCAACAATTTTTACTGCTTCATCAGGGACATTTTTAAATGGCCTTTTCTTGTTTAACTGCAAGTACATGGCAGTGAAGAATATGACAACTAGTACAGTTTTATGTGATGGCCTTGATTTGTGCTAAGGCAGTGGTCTCCAACCTTTTTGGCACCAGGGACTGGTTTCATGGAAGACAATTTTCCACGGATGGCAGGGGTGGCAGAGGATAGTTTCAGGATGATTCAAGCGCATTACATTTATTGTACAGTCAAACGTCTCTGCTAGTGATAATCTGTATTGGCAGCTGCTCGCCAGCGCTAGCATCACCACCTCAGCTCCATCTCAGATCATCAGGCATTACATTCTCATAAGGAGTGTGCAACCTAGATCCCCCGCATATGCAGTTTACAGTAGGGTTTGCGATCCTATGAGAATCTAACGCTGCTGCTGATCTGACAGCAGGTGGAGCTTATGTGGTGATGTGAGTGATGGGGAGCGGCTATAAATACAGATGAAGCTTTGCCTGCTGGCCTGCTGTTCATCTCCTGCTGTGTGGCCTGGTTCCTAACAGGCCACGGACCAGTACCAGTCTGTGGCCTGGGGGCTGGGGACCACAGTGCTAAGGTACCAACAGTTTTACAAACTATTGCTTTTGACCCACTAGTGCAAATGTCAATAAAGTAAAAAAAGGCAATAAAAAAGTCTTATTACAATTATGAAAATGATTTTGACCCTACAGATCCCCCAAAAGCATCTAGGATACCTCTGAAGTTTATGGACCACATTTTGAGAACTGCTAGCTATTGCAATATTGCCTGTAACAGGGAAAGCAGGAATGAAGTATTATCTTCATTATTAATTTACCCTATGCAAATCAGTTCCCCCTCCAGGTCTTTTTTAACATGTTTATGAAACTGAATGCTCTAGTTATAGAAAAAACATAAAATACCAGAGGTTTGGTTTTGTTTGGGTTTCAAAGATATTGGAATTTATACGTTCCCTCTCCTCCATCAGACCTAAATGGGGACAGAAATTAAGTATCCCAGACATAGCTTTAGCTTGGAGTACTTGAAAAACCTTTTTCCCGGTGGCATAGAGAAGACAGACTATTTTCAATTTACACTAATTCTTGGAATGCATTAGTAACAATAAAAAATTAAAAAATTATGCACTTTTTTTTTGGTAAAGTGTGTACTGTGGTTAAAAATCGCAGGCATCCTAGAACATGGAATCACACAAATAAGGAGAAACAAATGTCACTGTGAACAATTCAATCTACAATACACAGTGACTGGATTTTCCAGATAACTAGAGATAAGCATTTCTTTCAACTAATCAATGTTATAGCAATAAATCAATATAAATGAGAAACGTCATATTTGACAACTATGAGCTAATTGCTCATTTAGAGAATTTGGCAATTCTGAACACTTAACTTGAATATCCTATGTTCCAAGGGATGTGCAATTTTATTAAGATGTTTCTGTTAGAAACACGCAGCCTATTTTATTTTTTATCGCACTTATACTTTTTCAAGATGTTCTTCAAGATATTTTATATTTTAAAATGCAAAGACATTCACCAATGGAAAGAAATATGGTTAACTTCAATGGTAAAAACTATAAAGTTATCAAATACACAGAAGATTTTACTCTCTTTTTGACATGTACTTTACCTTGTATCACATTTAACACTTCATTAGATGATCGCTTTCCCATAATAATCAGGAAAAGTGGAAACTGATCTGTTTTTTGAGTCCGAATGGTTTGTGCAACAACACTGCCAAAATGTCTATTGCACATCGTCAGAAATCTAAAATGAGACAAAATCCAAAGTAAATTTTATTTCAGAGTTTAATAAATTTACTAGTATCCTAACAAAACTTATTATTTTATTAGTTATGTTAAAACGAGATAACCTGTCTTAAAGCAATATGCAAGATCTTGCTATATTGCGTTTTCAACTAAATCTTAAATGATACAGAAATGATTATCATATAGAAAAGCAGGAAGCATGCTCCAAGTGTTGTCTGGGTTGACAGCATAGGATTCATAATCTTAAACACTGCAAGCTGTGTTATCCTTAACCTATGAAGAAAACAAACTGAAGAATTTCAGGAGGAGAAAATTTCTTAAATAGAACAAATAATATAGCATGGTACAAAGATAAATTCACTAGCATCATCCTAAAAAACAGAATTTAGTAACATTTTTACAAGTTTTTAGAATCCAGAACTGTACTTTAGAATAGCGTTTTCTTCAGCAGTAGTAGGTCTTATAGTTTCATACTTAGTATGAGATAAAAATAATAATTCTAAGCTTTTGACCAAAAAAAACCTCAGAGATATTAGCATACTGAAGTCTAGCATTAGTATTCTTAACACGATCTGGAATAAATGAAAAAACTGATAAAGCTTTTCTCTTCTATTAGAGGACTGTTTGAAATTAGCATTTCTTTCAAGAGAAAAGGGTAGCTTATGATATGTTTTCAGATCTGATGGTAAAAAGTAAATGTCATAATAATAATGAATTATGAAAGACCAAATGCAAATACAGAATGCTTTAATAAGATCCAATTTAATAAAGTCTGTAAAAATAATGGACTTTTAATAACACAGGTCACAAAAGGCAAAACAGTGGAAATTCTGGGGACTAGCCACTGGTACTAGCTTATTAATTCTTAATTATGTTCATGAAAGGCAACTTAAATCGTGTGTTTTCTTATGCCTTATGATAATATTTTAGGTAACAACTCCTCTGAAATGCATGTTCTGGCTGATGAGCAAAGTCCTGTCGTCACATGCATTAGAAGGTAAATCTATTTGAAAAGATAAACGACATTAAAATGTCATGTGCTCAGATTCATTTGCTATCCAAATTCAAAACAGAATCAAATCTCTTAATTTTTAAAGCCAATATATTTTCTGTAGAAATTCATTTCAGAAATTTAGGCTGAATCCTCCATAAAACCTGTGCTGTGACTACAGAAAGTAGGTTTTGTTAAGAGCTACTGGAATTACTGGCAAGAGTATGAAGACCATGTCAGCACCACTGCAGTAAATTCACTGGGAGGCAGGTTCACATTACTCATTTAGAGCAGCAATAACCAGACCTCATGGCAATGATATGGCAAGGCCTTAAGAAATCCATTGTTGCCCATGACATAGTGCCGTCATGAAAATTCAAATCTTCACATTCCATACCTATTATGGGATAAAAGGTGGTCAAGCAGCCTAAGTTTCCATACTAAATTTCACATCCACATAATTTTAACTCATCAATGGAAATGTGTAGATCAGCAGACTAAAAAATTAAGATCTCATTTTTCTTTGTGCTTCTTTTTTAAATATTTGAAGTCAGTCTTGACCCTGCCATAATCACTGGCAACCTCTAAAATTAAGATGTCAAAGGACAGTTCAAATGACATTTTCTCCAAAAGGGAGTAAGTCTTTGTTGCTATCATACCAATGGATTACATGGATACCACGCAGTAGATACCCACTGCAGCACCAGCTTTACGAAAGATATTAAATATAAGATACCCCTCAAAAAAGGAAAGAAGAAAGGAAGAGAGAGAGAGAAAAAGAGAGAGAAAACAAGCAAGCAAGCGAGCAAGTGGGGAGTGGTGGCTCATGTCTGTAATCCCAGCACTTTGGGAGACCAAAGTGGGAGGATCGCTTGAGGATGGGAGTTCAAGAGTTTGAGAGTGACCTGAACAAAATAGTGACACCTTGCTTCTATAAAATAATTTTTTTAAAAAAATTAGCCAAGCACGGTGGTGCATGCCTGTAGTCCCAGCTACTTGGGAAGCTGAAGCGGTAAGACTGCTTGAGCCCAGGAGTTTGAGGTTGCTGTGAACTATGATGACACCACCGTATTCTAGCCCTCTAGCCTGGATGACAAAGCAAGATCCTGTCTCAAAAAAAAAAAAAAAAAAAAAAAGGGTGGTGGTGGGGAAGCAGATCCACCCAAAAAAAAAAAAAAAAAAGGGTGGTGGTGGGGAAGCAGGCAGGCTCAGGCTGAGTGGTTTTAAGAATTCCATTTTAAGAAAAAAAAAAAAGAAAAAAAAAAGGAATTCCATTTCAAGAAAGTTTTGCCTGGAAATTGTGTACTCCCAAATTCTTTCTGTGGAAATGAGCAAGAAGGAAAAATAATTATGAAAATGTAGGTATCTTGTTTGGTGTAAAATACTATAAAACACAAATTTCAAAACCACACAGCATATTCAAGAGAGGTGCAGTCTCTAAAGGCACACAGCCATTCAATTAACTACAAAAAAAACAGCAAAGTGATCAATTTCTTTACTAGTTATTTGCAAATCACTTTCATTTTTTGGAAATAGTTGGGAAGTATGCAGGGATTACACAGCCAGCTGACACTTTATAATAGCTTTAACTATTTGTTCTAACCAAAGACACTGTTAAAATTTTAACTGATCTGATTAATCTTCCTAAAATCTGAATCATGTTTGAGATTTTCAAATTGCAATCACTGACAAGCCTGTCGGGCCAATGGACAGTACCAAATTGTAAAATTGCTACTTGTCAGTTCCTTCCACTATAAGTAACAAGAACTTGAGGTAACACTTCACAACACATATATCAAATCTTTCTCATGGCTAGGAGGCTCTGCTTCCCCTTCCCAAGATCATTCATAGCACAAGATTACCTCATAACACACTATCAACAGCAAAAAAATTCAGTTCAAAACATTAGAAGAAAAACGGACATGGGAAAAACAAGTCATTTCAAGAGAAAAAGTATAGTTCTCATAATTCTGATATTTTCTTCCTCTTGAACAGATAAAAGTGTGACAGTGTATCTAGTGGCAGGGACAAAGTTGTCAACCCAATTGCACATGGCATTCATGAGAATTAGATGTCATGAAGGGATAGTTTCCACAGCTATTGGATTCCTGCAATCTCAAGCCCCAAGGGAGGAAGCAATGACAAACTATTCTGTAACAAGGGGAAATTGTTCTGCTTTTTTAATTATAAAAGATTTGAATAAATCAAACAACCTATAGATTGTAGATCTATTTGAGGAGGGGAATAAGAAGTTACCAAATCAACCCCAAAGACCAAATGCTAAAATGACAAATTTGAAAAGACAAAGAATAGGTGCCCTCACTAAGGGGATAAAATGAGAGAAGAAGGGAGAGGAGGAAGAAAGAAGGGTTGAGAAAATGAATGAAAGAAAATGGTTAATCACAAATCAGATATACTTTTATATTCACCAGTTCTTGCTATTAGAAAACTAGGAAGGTAAGATAAAATGGTTTTAATCTCTTTAGAAAGAAAAATAAACAATATCTGATGGCTGGCATATATTAATCAGTAAAATTTTTGGTCTCTGAAGCATAGATCTTTTCTATCTTGCTAATGGAAACCAGGATTACTAATAAATCAGATATGGAAAAAAGTCATCTTCTTTTAATTCAAAACAGAATATAGTTTAGTTTCTTTCAATCTAAGCCACAAGTCACTGACTTTTACTAAGCTGTACTCCAACATAAAATATGTATTAAATGAACCTAGCAATTTAGGGGGAGGGAGATGAAATTCCACAAACACATATTGTCTAACTACTGCATACCAGGTACTGTAAAAGGAGGCACATGTGATAAAAAGTGGAAGCCTCAAAACTGCCAACTACTCTATTTAAGAGTTCCTGATAATTACATTTCAATGTGACTCCTGTAAGTTTAAAGGAGTCTCAGCCATAAAGTGGGAATAGCATTTATCTTTAAAGCACTTGTCTTCTAGTAAGGATAAAATCAGGTAAGAGATAGACTTGAATTTATGCCTAAAATATAGTAGGCCCTTAAAATTGGTAGCTATTTTAGTATTATTAAATGTATAATGATATTTAACATTTTTATCATTATTTCTTTTAGGATTAAAATGATAGTTTACACCTAGAGGTCAAGGCCAACATTGAGAGATTTTTTTTTTGCGCAGTAAGATACAGTATCAAAGAGCTGTTGACGAAATAAAAATTGTCACTGTTTTCATTCAGAAAATGAATGCATTGGTATCGATATGTAGAAAATAAGAAAATACAATTTTACATGCTGCAGCTGTGCAATACTACAAAATTTTAAACATTTAAAAGTGGATACAAAACTAAAATCACTATTTTAAATACATTTATATTTAATCATAATGTGGCAAAAGGTCAAAGGGGAAGCAGACATATGTGAAGGGGTGAAACATGAGGGGCATCCTTGGTTTATAACAACCCACTCTCCCAGAACTAATCCATTCTCTTAACCACTAATTCAGTCTCCTGAGAGCAAGAGGGAGAACTCACTACCATGAGAACAGAGGCAGAGCCCCCATGACCCAAATGCCTCCCATTAGGTTCCATGTCTTAAAGTTTCTACCTTCCAACACTGCCCCACTGATATGAGTTTTGGTGGGGACACACAAACCATAGCATAGTCCTAAGTCTTTGGTTCAAATTGAGTTAGGAAAACAGGGTACATGACTAAGCTGGGGGAGACTGACTATAAAGGCAGTGATCCTCAACCTTTACTAGTCTACGAATCACCTAGGGAATTTATTTAAAAGGTATGTTCAGAGGCCAGGCTGGTGGCTCACACCTGTAATACACAGCACTTTGAGAGGCTGAGGCAGGAGTATCACTTGATGCTAGGAGTTCGAGACCAGCTTAGGCAACATAGCGAGACCTCTTCTCTACAAAAAGTTAAAAAAAAAATAGCTGGGTGTGGTGGCGCACACCTGTAATCCCAGCTATTCAGGTGGCTAGTGGGAGGATCGTTTGAACCCAGGAGTTCGAGGCTGCAGTGAGC